AGAAAGACAAAGATTTTGGGTGTTGTGAGCAGATCTCCTGCTCCTTCTTTTCCTCTCCAGCAAACTCAGTTGAGAATTTAGAGTCCTTTCATTAGAGCTGAACAGGCTACAAACAGTATGAATCAAAAGTCATACTACCCCAGGGAGGATGGGAGGAAGGAGGAGGCTGGGAACTCCAAGGAAAGAAAGAGGTGGGAAGGAGTTGAGGTGCATGTACACCAATGCTAGGAGCATGGCTAATAAGCAGGAAGAGCTTGAAGCTCTCCTGGGAATAGGAGGGTATGACCTGGTGGGAATCACAGAAACTTGGTGGGATGAAAGGCAAGTCTGGAATGTGAACATAGAAGGGTATCACCTTGTTAGAAAGGACAGGAAGGGAAAGAGAGGTGGGGGCGTGACTTTATATGTCAGGGAAGGGATAGGATGCAGTGAGATAGAATGCAGCACAGATGGGGATTCAGTAGAGGCAGTCTGGATGAAACTTAGGGGTTTTGACAGGGAAAGAGACCTGACAGTGGGGGTATGTTATCACCCTCCAGGTCAACTTGAGACCCTGGATGATGTCCTGACAGGCCAGATTCTAAGGATATCTCAGGGGAGAGACACAGTAATTATGGGAGATTTCAGTCTCCCAGATATTACTTGGGAGACTCACTCAGCGGTGACAGCCAGGTCATGTCGCTTCCTAGAAGCTATAGAGGGAGGGTTTTTCACACAGAGGGTCCGAGAGGCGATGAGGGGGGAAACATCCTTGACTTGGTCTTGACCAATAGGGAGGAGCTGATAGATGAAGTACAGATTAGGGGAGCTCTGGATGCGAGTGATCACTCCATCCTTTGCTTTGAGATCAGGGGACTGGGGACGTGCAGCAGGTCGAGCACTAGAAGCTGGGACTTCAAGAGGGCCAGCTTTGGCCAACTGAAGGCCAGACTGGGGAAAGTCTCCTGGGATAGGTTACTGGAAGGTAAGTGAGTTGAGGAGGGGTGGATAGCACTCAAAAGGGAGGTTTTGGAGGCGCAAGCCTTGACGATACCTCTAGTCAGTAAGGTGGGGAGGCGGAGGAGAGTGCCACCATGGATGCGAAAGGAGGTAGTTAAAAGGACTAGATGAAAGAGGAACCTCCGTAGGAAATGGGTACTGGGGGAAATAGACAAAAGGGTATACTGGGAGGAGGAGGCCTGTTGCAGAAGGCAAGGCTAAGGCTGATTACGAGCTGAGACTTGCCAAGAATATCAAGAGCAACAAAAAGGACTTCTTTCAGCATGTAAATAGGAAAAGGAAGGGGAGACAAGTGGTGGGACCACTAAATAAGGAGGAAGGAGATCCAGTGACTGACATGAGGGAACAGGCACAGATGCTAAATGACTATTTTACCTCTGTGTTCTCCCCAAAGCAGGACGGGGGATATCCGCATAGGAGATTAGATGAGGCTGGGGACTTAGGGGCACAGATTAGAGTCATTCCCCCCCCCCCTTGAAGTCGAGGGGCTCCTCAGGGCATTGGACATTACAAAGGCGCCAGGCCCTGATGGCTTACACCCGAGAGTACTTAGAGAGTTGGCAGGGGTTCTCTCACGCTCGCTGGCCTCCATTTTTGAGGCCTCGTGGAGAACGGGTGAAGTTCCAGAGGACTGGAGGGTGGCATCAGTGGTCCGAATTTTCAAAAAGGGTAATAGAAGGGACATGGGGAATTATACACCCGTTAGCCTTACGTCCATTGTAGGAAAAACAATGGAAAGGGTCATAATAGAGAGAGATCTAGTGATGCTAGTTAGGGAAGGGAGGCTGACAGCCACACAACACAGCTTCCGCAAAAACAGGTCCTGCCAGACAAACCTTGTGGAATTCTATGACAAGGTTTCGAGATGACTAGATGGAGGGGATGCAGTGGTTGTGGTATACCTGGATTTCAGCAAGGCCTTTGACAATGTGCCCCATGATATCCTGGTGGAGAAACTGAGGAGTTTGGGATACACCAAAGTACTGTCCGGTGGATTAGGGCATGGTTGACTGACCGAAAGCAGAAGGTAACCATTAGCGGGGAATCATCGGGATGGCGGCCAGTGACAAGCGGGGCCCCCCAGGGCTCTGTCCTGGGGCCGATCCTGTTTAATCTTTTCATTAATGACATGGAAGAAGGGGTGAACAGTTTGCTGATCAGATTCGTGGATGACACTAAAATTGGAGCAGTGGCCACAACTGAGGAGCATAGCCAGAAGTGTGGCTTCTAGATCAAGAGAGGTATTACTACCACTCTACACGACTCTGGTGTGCCCGCAACTGGAGTATTGTGTTCAGTTTTGGGCCCCTCATTACAGAAAGGATATAGCCAGGTTGGAGTCAGTGCAGCGTAGGGCCACAAGGTTGGTGGCCGGTTTTTCAGGGGATGGGGTATGAGGCGAGACTGAGGGAAATGGGTCTCTTCAGCCTGGAGAAGAGGAGACTCAGAGGGGATATGTTGGCGACATACAGGTATGTGAGGGGATGTCACATGGAGATGGGTAGAGACCTGTTCTCCCCTGCAGAGGAAGGCAGGACGTGCTCCAATGGAGCAAAGCTCAGGGAGCCAAGGTTCCCTTTGGATGCCAGGAAGCACTTCCTGACAGTCAGGACCCCGAGGGTGTGGAATGGGCTTCCACAAGTGGTCATTAAGGCTCCATCGGTGCGGGTGTTCAAGGATAGGCTGGACGCCCACATGGTGGGCATGTCGTGAGCGGAGCCGGCTGGTGCCAGAGGTCAGACTAGATGGCCCGGGAGACCCCTTCTGACTCGCTCTGTTTCTATGTTTCTAAAATAACTTTCTCTTTGAAATGTGGGAGAAGCACATGCCATGTAAAGTATTGAATCCACACTGAAACTTTCTTCCACTTCCCCCCTTTCAGAAAAGGTACTGACTACACTATCAGGGTGGCTCCTGCTAGAAAGCAGCAACACTAAGCACTTCTTAACTGGCCTGCTTGTTTCACCTGTTGTCTCCTGAAAGGGTTAAGAAGTTGCCCCTGCATCTCCTCCCCACCAAACCAGCTCTGAAAAGTCTCCCTTCTTTTCCAGGACAGGCTGGTTCTCATGCTCTGTCCAAGAATCTTCACTAGGCAACCTTGAAGCAAACCACCTATCCACCTCTCCCCTATGCCAGAATCAGATGAATCTTTCTGCAGAATCTATAATGTTCAAAAGCTGGGCCCCTCTCTTTGCTAGGAAAGCATGTCTAGAAAATGGGTTGGAGCTGCAACAGCAGAAGCCTCTGATAAACAGTATTCCTGCAATCCTGCCAGGTGGAACAGGCTGTCAGAAACCCTTTGTCTATCATTATCACTGCTAGCACTCACATTTTAATACCTCTTGAATCCTGGGATATGCAAGAATGTGCACATACTCACTTTCCCCAGCGTCTATAAACTCCTTAAGACCCAGAGTAGCATGTTCTCTAAGCAGTCCACTGGAGGAATGAATTAAAGGACTGCCATTTCTTCTGAGTGGTCACAGGACTAAAATTTTGATCCCAATTCCCAATTCAATGTATTTATTGAAGAATGAAGGTGAAAGGAGTTCAGAAATGGTCAGCTGCTTCTGAAATATCATCTTAGCTCAGTAGAACTTACTTATTAGGCTCGTAAGAGGAATGCACCAAAGCAACTTCCATGGAGGGAAGGGTGAGGGCTGCCTGGGGCTCAGTGGCATGGTGCTATCATGTGGAACCAGCCAGCCAGAGACAGAAGGATTCTAAAGAACAGACTAAGAAGCAAAGAAGCCATCTGTCAGGGGGACTTTTAGTTGGCCTTCTGCACCAAGCACGGGGGTGGACTCAATGGCCTAAACTTCTCCTTCCTACTCTGTGATTCTCTGGCATGTATTTCAGTGATGGCTGGGCAGGTCCTAAAGAGGGAAATTCAAATTAACCAAAAGTCTGGGAGGACCTGATCATGTATTCCTCCCCCTGCCCATCCACTGGTGATTGCTTCAGGTAAATAGTTAACATAAGGCCTAGTCAAGGAGTGGGGAAAATCAAGCTGGGATGAGTAGAAATGCAGCATGTACTGTGCATCTGCAACTGCCTGACTGTATTCTGTGATCAAAGACATGTCCTAGTAGAGAGGCAAAAAACTTGAATTCGTTACATTTGTTCATCCATCCATCACATTTCATTCAGTGGGATGAGGCTGATTTAAATCCAGAGTCTTCACATTATTTGGGTTGAGATTGTTCTGCAAACGCCAAATTTGGTTTTTCGTTCAGGGGTTCAGAGAGAAAGCACTTTGTTTTGATGGAGTTGGATTCCATATTGCCTGAGAAAGACTGCTTATGCAACAGGACTTCCCTGCCTTCTCCCCCTGGTCACAGCTCACTGCTCCAGAGGGCCGCCCTGGAACTTATCTGGGGGCCACACAGGGAGGGCCATACAGGGGGAAGGCAAATTTGCTCTGCAGCAGTTTCACTTTTTCTGGTGGAAGAGCACCACTTGATTCAACCCACAGGCATCACCATCTTCCTCCTCCCTCTCCTCCTCAGAAATACTGTAAAAATAATTTACTGACAGAAATTGCTTTAAAGTTGGGTGCAATGGTATGTTCATTATTGTCCAAAGGATAAAGATTTATAATTAACATTTTATATATGGGTTGTTAATTTCACTGGGACATTTTCAAAATGTTGGGTTCTGATGCTAGATACATCTTGAACCTCCTTAATCATGTCAAACTCAGTCATATAAAAACTTAGCTTTATGGCTGATTTTTCACATTAGTAAATCAAGTAATTACCCTACATATATGCAGGTGTATCTATCACTTCATGCATGCACACCAGCATTTCCATGTCCTGGTGGAAACAATAACAGCAGTCATTGTGCTGTTATTGTGTACACAGAGAAAGAGAGAGGGAGCTCTATACCAAATGTTAATTAGTATTTGTGGTGGTGGCTCCATGCTGCATGCTATGTACAAAGTTGTAGTGTGAACTGGGTCTTAGTTATATGTTATATCTTTATTTCTTATGATTCAGGTTGAAATTAATAATATTGGAAACATTTACAAAATCAGAATAGGTCATGATGGAATAAGCAAACAGCCAGAATGGATGTTAGAAAAGGTAAGTTTTCTGATATATCTTCTGGTTGTTCTTACAATTTCTTTAAGATGCAATCTTGTCTTTAGAGCAAACACTCCCAGTATGCTCTAGTTTTTTCCAAGGTTTTGTGAGGCCTGTTCTTTGTTCAGGACACTTTCATGCAAAATCTTTCTGCAGTGCTGCATCCAGCAGTGAGGTCCTTGCTGGCTTGCATAATGGATCCAACCCATGTTGGCTTTTATCCAAAAACATGAAAAGCTTTGTATGTATCACTTGCTGAATTAAGAAGCATGACTGAAACTGGACGTGCAGCTGAATGTCAAGGCATCTATTTGCATCACATGGGCATCTGAATGTTCAATTCATTGAAAAAGATGTGGTGCTGACAGATGATTTGGATATGCTTCTAGTTCACTCTTGTGGTTCTAATCTGTGATTTGGTACAAATGCCTGCTTCAGCGCATAGATCACCCCATTATGTTTATTTATTTTTTTTAATTCTACCAATACTCAAGGTGGCTAGCAACAGTAGAGACATCATTTAAAATAAAAATTAAAATAAAAATAGAACAATGTTTTAAAAACCCAGTTAGAGAACAAAAGAATAAAGTAGCTTCAAAATGAATGCCCGGCTCATATGCCAAAGCCCTGCTTGAATAAAAATGTGTTGTGACAACTGTAAGCTCCAAGTTGACCAGTGGCAGCATCACACTAAAGGACCTGAGGTCACCACAGTGCTGCAGCTACATGCCTTATTTTGCTGTGTTTCTGATTACAGGGATGGTTTTACATTGGGGTAGGCCTTTTGTTTTCAGAATAAATTCATGCCGCAAGGCACAACAACTCTGTAAGAAGTAAAGTCATATCTGTACCTTCTATGGTAACCCACTTCTGCACAAATGCATCTATGGTGTATTATGACATCTCAGCTCCCAAGCTGAAACCTTAATATTAGAAATAATAGTAACTAGTTTTTTATATTAGTTCACAAACCTTAACTATAGAAATCTATTATTATTATTATTATTATTATTATTATTATTATTATTATTACATTTCTATGCCGCCCCTTGCCGAAGCCTCGGGACGGCTTACAACACAATAAAATACATTGAAATACAATAGAACATAATAAATTACCATTAAATACAAAAATACAAAAAAATACACTGAGTTACAAACATAATAATATAAAATTAAAATTATCAGTATAAAATAAGTAAATAAATAATATAGGAGGAGAAAAGAGAAGGAAGAAGAAGTTGCCCTGGCCAGATCATATATTTTAACAATTAAAATGATGTTTAAATAAAAAGGTCTTTACCTGGCGCCAAAAAACCAGTAACGACGGTGCCAGACGTTTGGGGAGTGAATTCCATAGGTTGGGTGCCACCGCAGAGAAAGCCCTCCTCCATTCAGTTCGGCTTCAATTATTTCCTGCATCGTCCAGCATCACCATTATGTTAGCTTGCCTTTCCTTTAATATCTGAGATGAAGGTTTGTAAGAGTAGCTTTTGGCTTTCAAAGAGCAACCTTCTCTCAAGGAAACAAGTAACAAACTGGAAAACTGTTTTCTGGCACCTTGCCAGTATATCAGCAGGGGGAGCTGTGCCAATAAACTTGCAAAGTTCTAGAATGTAAAGGACATTATCAGAATTGCTGCTGCAAGATACAGTTTATTTCTAGATTCTATAATATCGAACCCATTTTTAAATCTAACTTAAACTAAACACTCCTTACAAGAAATATGAGAAGTGATTCTAGTTGGTTGCTTTCGCTTTACTACCATTATATCAATGGTTCTCAGTGGCTACTAATCCTGATGGCTTAATACTACGTCCAGCATCAGAGATAGTGCTCGGGAACATTAACAGGACCACATTTTGCACCTGTGTCCTGGTTGTAAGTTCCTGTGGGCAGCAGTGTGAACAGAATGCTGGACTAGATGGATGACTGTTTAGATCCAGCATGGCTCTTCTTGAAACTAGCTATGCAGGGTCATTTCAAGAGAAATCTCATGCTATTTTAGTGGTTGCTTTTGGAAGTCACTGGCCATTTTTAAAGATGTATTAGTGTTACTATTAGTATTTATTTATTTATTATTGTAACTTGCAGATTTTCAGCCCATCACATAAGTATATTGCAGTGACAGTAGCTTTCTTTCATAGGTGACACTACAACACCTAAAGAGTGGAAAAATTCTGAATTTTCCAGCAAACAAGTGGTTGTCAAGGAGTCAGGGAAATGGAGATACTCTGTGTGAACTTCCAGTAATGCATAAAGGAAGACAACTGTATCCAAGTAATAACATAGATTTCTTCTTTAAAAAACAATGCATTCTATTACAAATGTTGCTTTTGAAAAAAGTACTGGTTATAAACCGACCAATGCTTAGTACTTTAACAAATGGTGCACATGTAATTGCGGCAAATGATGGGTAAACAGCTGCAGTGGTTAATAAGGTGGACTGTGGGCTATTGAACCCACGATTAACCTAAAGTTAACCTAAAGTTCTAGTGCAGTCATGACATAGCAACTGCCAGTCAGGGATTGAATATTCCAAAAACTGTGGACACACTGTGGTAAATGTAGCTTAACTCACAATTTGCCTCTGTTAAGTGCAAAGAGCCCTTCATAGTGCAATAATTATGCCAGGGCTCCTACTGCTTCCTAGTGCTGCTCCCTGGTGCAGACCCTATTGCCTGCCCCCAAAAGTGTTGTGAAAAGAATGATGTCTATAATGCTACAACATGCCAAAAAATGTAAAACTTTAGCTTATTTCAAAACTTATTCTTAATTTATTTTTTCCACCCACCAGACATCATAAGTTGCCCACTCTTGCTTTAAATGGGAAGCTCCATTAGGCTCAGTGAAATCAGTGGGACTTACAAGACCATAGATGATTATGCCCATTGTTAGGTAGCATTGCACTAATATGTGTGCAATTTTATTGAAAATGCAAGTTGGTTTTATTTATGAACCTGAATGTTAAATGTAATACAAAATTGTTACACAGGATGGTTACTTCATGTGATGTTGAATCATTTCCACCTTTTTAAAATATTGGTCTCTTTTTCAAGTCGTGAATTACCAGGTTTATGTGTACACGGGGCATTTGGAGCAAGCTGGAACAGATTCATCTGTGTATTTGTGCATATATGGAAAAAGAGGAGATTCTGGTCTAAGACTTCTTCACAAATCTGACAAACCCAAAAAATTTCAGAAAGGAATGGTAAGCATGCTGAAGGAAATGTGCATACTCTATTTAGAAACACATTGAAAGAAGTTTTAATGCAGGACATACTTAAACTAAATGAAAGTGGAGTCAGATTTTGTTCCCTTTATTTCTCCAAAACTTATTTTCATACTTATTTTTCTATACTTTCAGCAACATTTTAAGAGAGAATATTAGTAGCAGAAAAAGCAGAATCCTATAAATATTTTAAAGAAAATCAGTAGACTAAAAATAGAACATTAATTAATGTGTCTTAAATAAGAGGTGTTGGCTTTTTGAAATCAGTTGGGCACCATTTGCTTAATTAACCATCCGCACACAGCTTGTCATGTCGCTTGGATCTGTGTGACATGGTTTATTTGAGGAACAAGCAATTCTCAAACAACCTAACAGCATGAGAAGGCGGCCTTGTTGACCTTGTGGACCCAGGCTTTCTCTCTCTCTCTCTCTCTCTCTCTCTCTCTCTCTCTCTCTCTCTCTC